TTTTTTTTTTTTTTTTTTTTTTTAAACACCTGATAAATTTCTTGCTCATCTAGTCCTCTGAATTATCCTGTCTTAAAAAGATGGTGAAGCTTGTTCATGATGATTTCTATGTTATAAGTTGTTGTTTTTTTGTTTGTTTGTTTGGTTTTTTTGTTTGTTTGTTTTTTATGTTGTGGAGGGTGTAACTTTGTTCTTTTAAGTGTGCGAGGTTTGCATTCATTTTAATAGGAGTTTGGCTTCTCCTGACTGGGAGACTTGTTCTAAGTCCTCCACATATGCTGGAGATTCAAATAATATTTATTGCTACTGTCTGATAAATGGACTCAATCAAAGCTGATTATTTGTTACAATATACATTTGTCCAAGACCCGCTTTCCCTCAGCTCATCACCATAATTGGTGTGCACAAGATGGTCTGTAGCACATGTGCTTTTGAGAAATGTATCTGGTGTACAGGATAGTGCAAAAGCACTCCTTTCTTTCTAAATCATTAATCCAAGTCATTCATTCATATGCATCAAAGCAAACAACCTCTGAAGGTAAACCTTGAGAAACAAAGGCATGTGAACATATTAAAATTAGCTACTTCCAACAGCTTTGGTTTCATTGCTTGTCAACCAGAAACATTAGAACATAGTTACACCAAAGCGACTGTAGGTGTATTTGCTTTTTTTATATTATCCAAGGTACTGAAAATAAGTAAAATGCAAACTGCATGGTATTAAAAGATTTGTGGTCCTGATTTCTGCAACAAAATTGAACGGAGAAGGGAATTTTCTTAACAATGAATAGTAAAACAAACTTCATTTGCACTCTTCTGAAAGAATTCATAGGGAGCCTGGCAAACAGTTTCAGCTGCCTAAGACCAAGTTTGTACCACCTGCTTCCTGAGCCCCATCCATGGCAAGGAATGAGCCCCAATCCCATGGCCAGCAGGCTGGGTGTAGTGATTTTCAACTCTCCCACTTCATGGGCTTGTAAATTCCTCTCCTGGAACTGGGTGCTCCAGTAGGCACAGGAACACTATTCCACCTCATTTCTACTGTTAACCTCTCACTGTCTCCATCTGCTACACTGTGGCTGTGGCACAGTACTGGAATAGCAACATTGCTAGAGTTATTGAGCAGAAGGTAAATATATTCACCCCTTGGCATAAAACCATAGAACAGCAAACTGCAGGAAAAACCAAATGGTCTTGTCGCAGCATCACTCATTCCTTTGTAGAAGTGTGCATGCTGGTGCATGTCCTACGGAAGGAATAACTTGTGTGGGACAGCTTGAAAACTGTGTATTGTTTCAAAAGAAAATTTCTTTTCCCTCAAATATCAGCAACTAAATGTACAGGTTTGAAAGTGGCAACGATTTTAAGGTGAGTGGATGTCTTTAAATTCTTCTACAAAACTATAACCAATCACTGTAGTACTAATAGTATTATATACCTCTAGAGTGGCCTACAACATAATGATGGAATTCAAATGTTAGCCTCTCCTACCTTTTTGGAAGTATCTCAGTAAACGCTTTTGCGCATCTAAAGGGATTGCTTAAACCTTTTGACCTACTTTCAGCTCTTTTTATTAGGCTGTCACTCATCATAAACATAAATATTTAACTTATGAAATCTCCTTTTTGTTCAGGAAAGCAGTACTGGGCCATTAACACTGGTTGACCCAGCAATTTCCAGGTCAGAATTTATTTAACTTTTTAATTCCTGAACAAAATTATCTTAATACCAGATCATGGATATCTTAAAGTTCTTCTCTTGTAGCAGTGAGCATTCAACACCATCCTGTAAAGAAGCCCTTGGATCCTCATTGGAGAGTACCAAAACATCAACAGGTAGACTCTTAATCTACAAGCACGGAACTAATTAATACCTGCCTAAAGAGCAAATACATGAGCATACGTTGCTGCTAACCAATAATAGATCTATTTTCTGTTGCCTCCTATTATAGAATTGCTCACTATGGAGACAAAATCTTCTGAGTTTTCACAGGCAAAAGAGGAAGATGTACCAACCTCTGTGGCAATGAAGCAAGATAAAGATAAGGATCTGACTGCTAATTTGTCAGGTACTGTAGCTGCTGCTAACATTTGTGATGAGGAAACAGCTGGCTTCCAAATGATCTTTTGAAGTGAGGAAGTTGAGTAAGAAAAACAGCTTTGCAGAAATTCTGAGTTACATTAGATCAAAAATAACCACTCTGACTTGCAGCTTCTCCCAGACTAAGTGAACGGTGCATGGGGATGGGGTATTGCCTGAGTACAGGCAGTTGCAGGATTAGGGTGGAACACCCTGCAAATGAGGTACGCAGAATGAGTTGGTGAAGTCCTGGTTCTCTTGCCAGGGCTGTTTTAAGTGGTGCTGACTTTTTTTCTTTCTTTCTTTTTCTTTGGGGGGAAGGGGCTGAGGAGAGGGGGAGAGGAAGGACAGTGGAAAGCCTCTCTTTACTGGTTTGCAAAGTTCACTACTATGTGCTTAATTTAATAGAAATGGGAATCTCAAAGGTATGTAGAGGTTGAAATGCTCAAAATTGGAATGCTTCTCCCCCAACACCAACTTTTCAAATCAATAGAGAAAGCAAGTTCTCATTAAGATGAATCGGACTGGATGAGAAGGCTATCACAGTTCTTTTTCATGATACTAACACTAGTCTCATACCTACTTGTGTCATGGTCTTTCTTTCACTTTAAAGCACATGCCTTTTCTCCTCGCACTCCCTTTAGATTCTAAATTTAAGAAAACCCTACATAATACATGGTGCTGCTAAAAAAAGCAGATTAAGATACACTGTACAAAATATTGAAACATTTTTAAAGTACTTTAAACTATCTTATAACTTGCTTTATCCAATTGTTATTCATATCTTCTATTTACCTTTTCTGAACACTAGTCACTTTCCTTTTAGGCTGGGTTCTGACTGCACATTTAGATCCCGGATTCAATTTGTTACTGTTCTACCTTTTTATAGTCACAAAATGACTGGGTGCCCAGGGGAAGGGGTGAAACAAACATACAAAACAGTCCAGCCATGAACTTGCAAGTGTAAAGCTTGTTATCTGTTTCTTCTTCATCTTCCACATGCATAATCTTTTCTTATGTTTGTACTGCACATGGAGACATGAGGTGATTTGGTACATCTGTTTTTAGGTGTCATAATATCCATCAGCTCTTGAAAAATTACATGTGGGATATGTAGGGATGATATGTCGGCAGAGATTTGGCCCAATTTGGTGGCTGAATCTCCAAATCCAAATGGAATCGGGAGACCCTTTAATCTTTCTGAATTGAATTGGAACCTTCCAAATCAATTGGGAAAGATTCAATGATTCAGATATAGACACAGCTTTTAAATCTTTTTTCTACATGCATCAAGCTACCAGGCAGCTCATGAATGCTGCAGTGGGGCAGATGGAGCATCCCACAGGAGTGCATGGGGCTCCCCAGTGTGCTCCACTGCAGACCTGGAAGCAGACCAGAAGCACTTCTTCTGATCCGTTTCTGGGTCCACCAGGAGCATGCTGAGGGGGCCCCTCATGCCCTCTGGCTCAGCGACCAGTGCCTCCTAGGTCTGGAGGGCACTCGCCCGGGGATTTGTCCTCCCCCCAGGCTGATTGCCGAGTGCACTTCCAGTCCACTTCCTGGTTCGCTGCCCAGCATGTAGGGGCAGGGCCCTGTGCTCCTGCGGGACACTCCATCCATCCCAACATTGCAGCATTCATGAGTCATGCCTGGTACCTCAAGGTATGTAGAAAAATTTTTTAAAGCTGTGCCTGTGGCTGAACCACCGGTTCTCCGAAGCTGCATTGAATCTTTAGATTGAGCAGAGTTGTATCGGGGACAGTGATCCAAATCAACTAATCAAATTGCTGTCCCTGATTTTTGGGCTGAATCTGAATCGAATATGCCCCATTTCACACACCCATAGTAAATGGACGTGAAAGAAACTGGTTTTCAATGCTGCATGAAGGTTGAAGACAGGAAATTCTAAATGTTGAGTTCTTGTCATCTCCTGTTTCTTTTGGTAGCCCTAATATAGGTTAGTGTGCTCTATTTGTTTAAAGCTGTGAATTGTGGAGTGAGCAAGAACAGTTTATCACTTTAGAATTGCCTTATTTCATGGAAGCAGGACTGTGCCAACTTAGAAAATGTTTTAAGCAGCTGGGATTTTAATAAATTAAATGGGAAGCTTCCCTGTAGCCTACCACAGGAGGCAGTAGCTCCTGGCAGTGAAGATGTTGCGTAGTCTAAAGACAGGTGACTTGGTTAACTTTGCAGTTTGCTACCCTGTAGATCTGCAACTACCAGTCCTTGAAGTTCAGTAACCTCCTTGCTGCTTATGCTTTCTTGCAGCTGAATGCCTGCCCCTGTATGGTACACCACAGGTCACTTTGTGGGTGCTGCTGAACCTAGAGGAAAGGCATGCCCAGTTGGGCGTGCCCAGTTCAGATACTGGTTTTAAAACCTGTTCATCTTTTTCAAATGTAAGCAAAGTGCATCCATCTCTGGCCTAGAATCAGAATTTCTAAGCTTTATGGCAACTGTATCTGTCCTGCTTACCTTGATATAAGCTAGGGTGGATGGAGGGCAGAGTTCCAATTAGAGCCTCTTTAGCTGCTCCCTGATGAGACTCTTTTTTCCTTAAAACAAGCCACTGTCAACTTTAAACATTCTCTGTACCTTTTTAAAAAAGGTTGAGACACCCAAAACATGGACACTTTTAGCCCAAAAGCAAATGTTTTGGAAAATTTATGAGCATATGGAAACTTCAGCAATTGCAACTCATACTGGTAGCAGATACTCCATTCTTAGTGGTATTGCTTCATATTGTAATACTTTGGCTTGATGAATGGCATCACAGTATCCCTTCTTCCACACTCCCACAGTGTTGTGTGGCTTAGAAAGGCCTTTTTCCTTCTGTGTGCTTTTCTAGGAATTACTATGAGTTGTATGGTGAAAGAAAGTTCAGGGGCTTTTGAGATGATTACATTCAGTTCCTTAAATGTTTCTCTTCAGGTGCTAATCTGACTAGGAAGTTCTGCCCAAGCACAGAAGATCACAGAACCACACCTGAAAATACCTTCAAGTTAAATGTGGTAAGACCTGCAGTAAAATGCTGAAGTCTTAATGTTGCAGTTGGCTTAAGCCATAAGAAGGGAATCCTGACATGAGTTTAAGATGTTTGTGGCATTTTGCTTCACTGGAGTAACTAGTGGATGCCCTGGCTGCCCTGCCTTTTAAGTGCTGAGTTAAGAGGAGGAACAGGGAGGTGGAAAAAAATGATGGCTACTGCAGCTATGGAATTGCCGTGAGACAGCAACAGAAGATGCCTTGTGGCAGCTGCCCCAGGTGCCCAGCCACATTCTAACACTTCTGGTTTTCTTTTGAGTAATTGATCTGAAACTTCTTTAGGAGGTGGGTGAGGAAATGGAGACTGTTAAAGAAGAAAGTGGACAAGCATCCATAGCAGTTCCCAGTATCAAAGGTAAGTTGTCCTCATTTGATATCTGTATATTACAACTCAACTGGATGCAAGCTAGCTTTCCTGAATCAACGGTCTTAAGCCTTATCATATTGAAATATCTCTATCTATGATCTTGCTGTATTCTGTACAACAAAAATATTGCATAGAAATGGCACAGAACATCATCAAAATGCTGAATTGCATTAAATTTTTCTATCGTGTGTATATATAACATGGCAAAATACTCCACTAGTCTAAAAGGATGCGACTAACTGCTTATAGTGAAAGTAACAAATCTATAGTTATCAACAGCATGTAGAGAGCTAATAAATCACAGAGCAGATCTTTTGTAACCATAGTTTCCATGAATGATATGGAGATGGGCATGTTCCTGTGTGGGTGTACAGGATGTTGGTGACATCAGCTTTTTATATTTTCTTACAGTTCTATCACTTATGAGACAACAAAACTATATGAACAAAGCTGCATTATGTAGTGTGGCTTTAGGACCAAGTGGGTGGGTTATATATGTTTTTTTATGTTAAGAATCAAAATGGTGAGGGCAAAAAGAAGCAGTATCCCATCCTACAAAGACCCATTTATCCACAGTCTACAGGCATTGGTTTAACCAGCACCCTCTTCGAGGAAAGGAGAGACATCCCTTGGGATTTTGAAAATGGGCCAGGATGTTGCTGTGTTTGAGACCTTTAAGTGCTAATGAAAATACTTGTGATCCCTTATAAAAGGATGCCCTAACCAAACCTTTGGTGCTTTTAACTACATGCAAGGTGGACGACAGTCTTTACTGAGCATGCCCAGCTTGCTTTCTCATTGTAACCATGTCCCTTTTTGTCTTTGGCTGATCCTCCCTGAGAATTGCAAATACTGAGTTCAACATAGCTTCTACATTGTGTGTTTTGTTACTCTCTATCACTACAATTTGAAGCTGTGTATGCAGGATGCCATGTGAAACCCCAGATCAATTCCTTCTAGATTGGATCTTAATCTATGCTCTGGCCCAGGGTGATAGCTATCAAATAAGATCTTTCAATGGTCAAACTCATTTAAATTATTAACAAGCTGCTTTGCAGATATTCAGGCTCAATGCACCCAAGCCCATTTCTAGGTCAGTGGTTCAACAAAAAGTCTTGGTGAACTTGCCATCTTGCAATTTAGGGGTTATTGCTTTACTCTTAACACTTTGAGAGGAGAGGTTGCTCTGTACCTGAAAATTGAAATCTGTTTTCCATGTCTCTCCAATCAGAGAATTCACCCATGGCAACTGGCATTAAAGGAGCTAAAACCAATCAGAATGATGAGTAAGTATCACCTTTTTTGCCTGATTCCAGCCTGCATATGCTTAACACTTCATTCTGCTTATGTTGGTGTTGTTCTCCTCCTACAGTGGCTCTCCTAATGAAAAGGAGGTGGAGGTGAGTTTTTGACCTTTTGTACCTCAAATATTTCAGGGAGTAGGAATCTGTCTACTCTTTCAAGTTCAGGTAAACAATTTTGCAATCGACTGAACAAAAATAAGTAGTGATTTAGATATGGAGCAGCTCAAAACTTGACTTTCTAACTTTCTCAAAATTTAACTAATGTGCCCACATCATCTTTAACATGGATGATATAGATATCTACTTTGTCTAGCACTCGGGTTCAAATGAAATCCCCTAGATCAGGCGTGGGGAATTTTATTTATTTGGGCTGGAGGTTTGGTGAGCTGTTGTAGATCAGGTCAACACCCCCCCCCCCCCCCCC